TTTTACATATTTTAGGAAGGCATGAGACATCAATCAAATACATTTAAGAAATACGTTGGTTTGGTTCAGAAAGGCAGGACAACTCCAAGTGGGGGCTTCCAGGCTACAGGTAAATTTAAACATTTTCTGGTTGACAGTTGGATGACTTTATCTGAAGACCTGGGATCAATAGAAAGGAAATGTTCCAGTTAAGATAAAGGATTGTGGAGACCAAGTTTTATTGTGCAGAGGAAGCTCTCAGATAAAAGACTTCAGAGAGAGCAGGTTGTAAAATGTTTCTTATTGGACTTAAAAAGCTGCCTGGCTCTTAGTTGATTGTCTCCTAGATCTGGAAAGGAAGAAGGAAAACAAAGGGGGAAAGGGATTCTCTATAGAATGTGGATATTTCCCACAAGAGACTTTGCAGGGCAATTTCAAGTTACAGCAAGGAAATATATGTTGGGGTAAAACATTTTTATTTTCTTCCTTGTCATGGCAGATTAGAAAGCAAGTCACAATATACAGGGTTAAATAAAACCCATCTGATGAGAGTTTATGGTTTGTAGGGCATGACTCCCCAGACCCCTTAGACAAGAATTTGGGCAAGATACAAAATCAGACCTTAGTCCTCAGGAGAAGGGAAAGAAAGTTACTCAAATCTAAAAACAGACATTTTAAAAAAAACCAAAGAGTATCAGTGAATACATAATGAAATACTACATTTTTATGGTTATGAACAAGCTATATCTTTCAGAAAATACATGCTATAAATGGGTAAAAAAGACAATATAAGATTAATATTATTTAATAAAATGATTTATTAAAATAAATTATTTAATTTAAATATTTAATTAAATATTAAATATTGCAGTCAACTTTCAGAGTGAGTCAATTAACACCAGACCTCCAGTCTAAGCCTCCCAGATACCAGGAATCACGTCAAACACATGAACTTAGTAGTGGTGTACAGGGAACTTGGTAGTGGTATACAAGACCCACGTAGAAGACTCTTGCAAATAATCCAAGAAGGAGCTCATTATGTAACCCAGGATGCCCAGGTTTTTGGGGGTATGTGCTATGAAAAAGTATCCACCTGTAATTGTTGCACCTTGAGTTCTTGTTGTTTCAAAAAGTTCCAGGAAGATGGGAGGCCAAGGTGGGTGGATCACTTGAGGTCAAGAGTTTGAGACCTGCCTGGCCAACATGGTGAAAGCCCCCTCTCTACTAAAAGTACAAAAATTAGCCGGGCGTGGTGGTGCACGCCTGTAATTCTAGCTACTAGGGAGACTGAGGCAGGAGAATTGCTTGATTGCCGTGAGCCAAGATCGCGCCACTGCACTCCAGCCCAGGTGACAGCACGAGACCCTGCCTCAAAAAAAAAAAAAAAAAAAAATGTATTAGCCGGGTGTGGTTTCAGGTGCCTGTAATCCCACCTACTTGGGAGGCTGAGGCAGGAGAACTGCTTGAACCCAGGAGGTGAAGTTGCAGTGAGCTGGGACCACACCATTGCACTCTAGCCTGGGCAATAAGAGCAAAACTCTCTCAAAAAATAAAAATAAAAAATAAAAATTTTAACAACCAATTATTTTATCTTAGGATAAAAATTTACCATATAAGTTTTTTTACTATATCAATTGTATTTTCCTAAATTTATATTTTGATTAATAGACCTAAATACTTTTAGTCCTTTTATAAAACCTAAGAAGCCAAGAACAAACGTCTATGTATTTAGCAATTTGTTTTTTATTTTTAAATTGGGATATGATCCAGACATTTAATAAGTATCATTTAACATAATTTTAACATTTTAAAATTACATGAAAAGCTCATTTATAAATGTTTATTTCATTTATAATATTTATTTATTTCTCAATTATTATTCCTAAATTTATGAAAATTGAGATAGAACTAGTCATTTTTTTTATTAATCAGTTTTATAGACTGTTACCATCAAGGGTTTATCTTGATATTGAGGTTTAAGTAAGAACCTTAAAGTTAAAAACAGCCACCCTGTTGATAACTCAGAAAAGTTATAGCTATTTTTATTAAATCAACAATATTAATCATATTTATTTTAAAACTATATAAACAAAGATAATTTTGTTTTAGGCTTTATGACTTTAAAACGTCTAGCAGAGGCAAATATAAAACTATCTGACCAGTAAACCCAGATAAAAATGTATGCTGACAATTTTGAAGACATTTCTAATTTTATTTTATCCACAATTTTAAAACCAATTAATTTATCAAAGATTTACTTAAGCCACATCAACTAAAAAAAACTGGGAGTTAATTACTATACATTTTATATGAGTGCTAATTTATTTAAACAAATCAGAATAAAATTTCTTAAGGGATTTCTGGCTGACTACACCAGATTTTATGTAGCTACAACATATAACATAATATATGTACATACACATAAACATATTTAAACACATACACATACATATAAAGATATCAGAACTTTTATTTTAGAATTTTAGTCGTGATATAGTAAAACACAAAAAAATTCACCAGTTTATAAAAATGATTAGATGCAAATTATTTTTCTGACAAAATGGGCTAAGGATAAGCTTTAAGCTTTTTTAATAGGCAATCTTATAAAGGCTGTGAATCAAATTTGGGATAAAGCAGTTTGAGTCACTCACCAATGCACTGAATTGAACAAAGAATAGTTAACTGTGAAAGTGTGCTGAATTATGTGAGTAGGACCAAAAGACAAGAGTGATTTTTAACAAGGTTTATACAGTATTTTCTTGGACTCAATTCTTTGTTGTTGAAGATAAGAATGTTGCCATTCTTTTTTGTATAGGGAGGAAGGTTTTACATGGGAATTTCATCTTTGCTTTAAAAAAAAAAAACAGCAGGAAGGTCAAAATGACTTTCTTTTATATCTGCTGGTTTTCAAGTGTTTTTGTTTTTTATGTAGTATGTTAGAATAGCTGTTTAGAGAAGGATAAGGTGGGGATATTGTAAGAAGGGGAGGTGAAAGGTCAGGAAAAGAAAAAGTTCCAACCACCTTTGAGACAGTATTTTTTAACAAGGCAATTATTTGCATCCTGAATGTATTTTGTTTTAATTTTTTTTAGCCTCAAGATATCAATGAAATATGCATATCTTATTTGGAGTACATGATTTTATAGCCTCCATCTTTTAGTTCAGTTTTAAGAACAACAGACTAAATGATCCCTGTAATGTTTGAATATGTTTCTAGCTGGAGTTCTAGAAAATATTCTGGCATGACTTTGAACTTTGAGAGCTCATTTCGTGGGTGCTCTGATTTAATGCCAACTATGCAAAACCCAAGTAAATGCAAGCACTGAATACACAAACGCCAATTAAATAAAAGCCCAGACAGAAAATAAAATACATGCTTACCAGTAAGAATGATAAGCCTTCTCCAAAGAAAGGGAAAAATTCCCTCATCCAACCCTCAAGGTCCAAACCTCGCAGCTGAGGTCAACTGGGGGAGAATAATTCTACCCAACAGATCTACCAAACAAGAAGGGGAACGACCTCTCCCTAATCATATCCTAAATAAAACAGAACTCAAACCATATTTGAGAGTTCTGTCCTAGAGATACTCATTGGGAGGAGAAAGGATGACCTGTGAAAGTCGTGGGGGTGTGGGGGGTTCAAAGGGCCCCAACACAGGTACCTCATGCCATAGCCCCAAAGGCCAGTGATTCTCCGTGAGGTGAGTCAGCTTTGTATCCCACTTCTGACACCATGTATGTCAAAGTCAAAATGAAAATGTAGACACAAAACTCTAAATTTAGTGTTTTATTTGAGAAGGAAGAATTTCAATTCTAGGTGATCTTTAGTGTGTTCAACAAAGAGAAGGTTGAGGGTTTTATTTTAAACGAAGAATGTTACTTGTGGTCTTAAGAGAAAGCTCATTGATATTAGTAAAGCTGTAGGGAGCTGGCAAGTTCCAACTGGTGAGCAATGGCCATAGGCAAAATCAGTCCTAGAGTTACAGCAAGTTATCTCAACAGCTATAGACAAAACTGGTCTCAGGTTACAGCAAGTAGTTTCAGTAGCCAGGCTCACAGAGAATTATATTCTTTGAGAAATATTATGTGTGTCAAGTACTTTTTTCCCCCTAGCTTCTTGACTCTGTTTTAGTTGGGTGTGACAAGAATGACTCAATTCATATGAGAATCACAATTATAAGAGAACAATTATAAGAGAATCACCAATTTATGAAAGCACTTAGGCTAAAAAAGTAGTAGTAAAAACATCCTATGTGGCCAGCAGCCTTGAAACAATAGAATTTAGTCAAATAATGATTACCTGCATCAGATATGCTTTCCATCTAAGTAGTTTCCCCAGTGATTTTTGCCAGTATTCTAATTCTACATGGAGTAAACACAAACTGTAAACGTTAAGAAATTGCCCATAGCATAATAATCACCTTTCAAACCTCTCATATGTTAAAGTTACTTTTTTTTTTTTTTTGAGATGGAGCCTCGCTCTGTTGCCCAGGCTGGAGTGCAGTGGCCAGATCTCAGCTCACTGCAAGCTCCACCTCCCAGGTTCACGCCATTCTCCTGCCTCAGCCTCCCAAGTAGCTGGGACTACAGGCGCCTGCCACCTCGCCCGGCTAGTTTTTTGTACTTTTTAGTAGAGACGGGGTTTCACCGTATTAACCAGGATGGTCTCGATCTCCTGACCTCATGATCCTCCCGTCTCGGCCTCCCAAAGTGCTGGGATTACAGGCTTGAGCCACCGCGCCTGGCCAAAGTTACTTTTTAATAAATATTATTTTCTAATAATTTGGAGTTACAGAGAAAGTAAGATTCCCTCAAAGTTTGGTGAGTTTGCCGGTCACGGTGGCTCACGCCTGTAATCTCAGCACTTTGGGAGGCCAAGGAGAGCAGATCATGAGGTCAGGAGATCGAGACCATCCTGACTAACACGGTGAAAACCCATTTCTACTAAAAAAATACAAAAAGATGAGCCGGGCGTGGTGGCGGGTGCCTGTAGTCCCAGCTACTCTGGAGGCTGAGGAAGGAGAATGGTGTGAACCCAGGAGGCGGAGGTTGCAGTGAGCTGAGATAACGCCACTGCACTCCAGCCTGGGTGACAGAGCAAGACTCTGTCTCAAAAACAAACAACAAACAAAAAAAAAGTTTGGTGAGTTTTTTTTCAAAGTTTTATTCCTTAGATATTATCTGTATAATCAGATAGACTGGGCTAAGCCACAGCCTCATTCCTTGTCAACTGGATAACTTCAGAAAAGTGTTTTAACTTCTCCAAATCCTAGTTTCTTCCACTATAACATGAGGATAGTCAACACTGACAATGAAGGATGAGCATAAGGATTAATGAGATAGGGTATGTAAAGCTAGCCTCATTCATGGCAATGGTCAGTGCTCAGCAAGGGAAAGCAGCCCTTATGACTATATTGCTGAGATTTCATTAACTAACCTTTTGCCCTATTAATTTCATGACCCCTTTTTTAAACAGGTAAGTGTCAGAAGAAGATCCTATAATGTCAACGTGTGTCCTATAAAAGTTAATCAGGACTTCAGGGTATCTCGAACTTAATTGTTCACATGCGCATTTGATCATTCTTTTCTCTTTCTTTTCCTTTCCTTCCAAAATAAATGTCTCTTTTCTAAGCTTTAAGTAAAGGGCATGTGACCATTCCTCAATGAGCTCTTTTACATGTTTTGCATTGTTTGGCTGAGAACCAACTTGAATGTTTTTTAGACAAATTGTGGTGATTTCACCATCCACTTTCTCCTGACTCAGAATGCAGAATTTTTTCAGTGTGCTTTCGTAAGATCTACACTTGTGGTGCAGGTAAAGAAAAACATCTGTGTCAAGCACAAGCATTTCTCCACTTCTAGCAGTCTCAGGTACTAAAGTCCTGACTGATGCCAAAGGGTTATTACTTCTCTGTAGACTCCTTTGGGGATTTTGTCTATTCCACTTTCTTCCCTCACTGGTAAAATTTCTGTCTTTTTCTAAGAGAGAACATGCTCTTACTAGCAAAGATTCTTTGAGCCTCTTGACAGCCAGAAATGATCCTTCCACGGAGATTCTTCCATTGGGTTTCAAAGGACTGAAGTTTAAACTCGGGATTTTTTTTTTCAGGTCCTTTACCAGAGTTTCTAGAGTAACTTCTTTCCCAAAAACAGAAAGATCAAGGATGGCATTTACAGAGCTGAAGATCTAAAATTAAAAAGAGAGAAAAGAAAACAGTACTGCTTAGTGGGAGAGACTACATAAACATGTTCTTTTCTGCCATTTTCTTGTCTCTGCAGAAATTGCACTAAACCAGGCCCCAGTTGCCTGCCCCAGACTTCCTGACTTCTTGTACCAGGGCAGCCCATCAAAGTGATCCCATTTTGTTCAATTTGGGATTCACACTCCCTCACCACATACCCCAAAACAGAGGTGCTCAAATAATTTTTAGAGGCAGAATTTTTTGTTGAAACAGTTTTATGCAGAACCATACATATAAATTGCTCTGGTTCTGCTTGGATAGGGGTCCCCCAAGAGTCATTCCCACCCCCAGTCTAAAGTTCATCAGATGGCTGCATACAACTCTGAGTGTCTTACAGAATCAAGTTAGTAAACCATTGCTTTGTATTTTAACTTTTTCCTCTTTTTCTTATTTCCTGTCTCTTCAAAGCTTCTTTTTAATGTTCATTCTAATTGTGTTTTCCCAAAATAAGCCTTTAGGTTGGTACCTGCCATCATCCATGACAGTATAAGAGCTTACCATCACTTTAAAAGCATTAAGTGAGGCTGGGCTTGGTGGCTCACCCCCCTAATCCCAGCACTTTGTGGGGCTGAGGTGGGAGGATTGCTTGAGTCCAGGAGTTTGAGACCAGCCTGGGCAACATAGGGACTACAAAAACTGCAAAAATTAGCCAGGCCTGGTGGTGCACACCTATAGTCCCAGCTACTCGGGAGGTTGAGGCAGGAGAATCACCTGAGCCCAAGAGGCAGAGGTTAGAGTGAGCCAAGAGTATGCCACTGCCTAGGTGACAGAGCAAGACCTTGTCTCAAAAAATACACATTTTGTAAAATAAAACATTAAGTGACACACTTAGAAAGATAAAAACAGATAAGGCGATAACCAAAATTTCAAGGGCCAGGGTTGGCCTTTAACACTGACTCAGGGAGTTTGCATTTTCTTTCCTAGAAGTCATGGAGTGAGAGCACTTTGTGTCTCCTGCCGTAAGAAAAACTTCAAAGAAGAAATGGGATACAGGACTATCAGTACACCTTCAGCATCACACCTTACCTTGTCACTAAAATGAGAGACTGTGAGTTCAGCATGTCTAGCCTTCCTTGCTAGCCGGTGTTTCTTTTGTCTGATGACATTCTCTGCAACTAAGTGGAAACACTGGCATCAAAAGTGTTTATGGCACGATACACTAATAATTTTTTAATAAAATAGGCATATTCAATTATACAAGAATGTCTAAGCTTTTTTCTACATTTTTCCTCTAAATTCAACATTCAGATCACTTTTTTGTTGCACTTTAACTCATTAAAGTTCATTTATGTGTAAGTATGATCCAAATCACATGTTATAAAACACACAAGGCATTATATGCATGAATAAAAAAAAATAAAGGTATATCCCCATCTCTGTTAACTCACAAGAAGACTTTACATTCTTGATTCAAGTTATCATACTATTCTGGTTTTCCTCCCAATTCACTGGCTGACCTGCTGAGTCTCCTTCCTAATCCTCCTCTCTTCCCATTCTCTAGACGTTGGCAAGACCTGGACCTCAGGCCTCATGCTTCTTTGCTAACCTATACCCATTCCCTGGGTGATCTCAACAATCTCCATGGCTTTAGACACCATCTCTACATGAATCGTTTTCAGAATTCTATCTTCAGCCTCCATCTTTCTCCCTTCTGCCTATAGAACTCTCTACCTCATTATCCTAATAGGCATCTCATTGACCCAAACTGAACTCTTGATAACTATCTCCCTTCCAAATGTATTCTATCCCCAGTGTTCTCTACCGCAGAAAATGACATTTAATCCATTAACATGTCCCGAATACCCACCAGTTCTTATCACCTGCCCTGCTACTGCCCTATCAAAACCAACGATGAATAGTAATTCCTCTTCTTCAAACAGCCACTAGGTTGCTCATTTAAGAAAAGGCAGTCCAATCTTGTCAATCCCCTGCTTGAAACCTTCCCTGTCACCCAGAATAAAATCCCAGACACCTTGCCATGATCCAGCAATTACTGAGCATAAACTGGCCCCAGCTCCCCATCTAACCACATCTCCTATCACTATCCCCCAGCTCATTCCACTCCAGCCACACAGGCCTCCTTGCTGTTCTTCCACACACCCAGCATGCTCCCCACTCACAGAATTACCAGTCCTTCCCTTGGCCTAGAATGTTCTCCCTGCTTATCTGCATGAATCATTTCCTTACTTGGCTTCTGCTCAAATGTCATCTAAACAGAGCATTTCCCTTCCTATTCATCTAAAACAGCACTTTCCATCATATTCTATCCCTTTATTCTTCTTTATATCTTGTCATAGCACTTATTATTTATGAATATACAATCATAAATAAAAATATTTAAATAAACAAATATCTAAGTTGTATATAAATAAAGCACCCAACATATTACAGATTCATTTGTTTAAAATCTGTCCAGATGTACATTTCAAGAAAAAAAAAGACTTTGCCTATTTCACCCATTGCTGTATCCTCAAGACCTAGCATGTTGCCTGGTAAATAATAGGTACTCAGAAAATATTTATGAATGAATGACCAAGGCCAATCTCTCCCTCTCAATCTCTCTCTGAGTTGCCAATTCAACATATAAAATTTTTTTTTTTTTTTTTTTTTGAGACGGAGTCTCGCTCTGCCGCCCGGGCTAGAGTGCAGTGGCTGGATCTCAGCTCACTGCAAGCTCCGCCTCCCGGGTTCCCGCCATTCTCCTGCCTCAGCCTCCCGCGTAGCTGGGTCAACATATAAAATATTAACTTTCAAAAACACTACCATCTCCTTAGAGAAATACTGAGCCACTGAGCCCCCGAGCCCCCTCCTGCCATCCCTTACCTGAACATCCCCATTGAGAAGAAATGACTTAATTAATGGTGACAGCTAAAGGTACTGAAAATCCATAGTGCCTTGGATCTTTCTCTGGACTCTGTCTTCCCTCAAGCAAAGCAAGGTCTCTTCCTCTGCTCCTACCCCCATGTGGTATGTTCACCTCCAAGAGCCTGGCATGGAGACTTGTTTTTCTCTGGCAATGTATTTTCTGCCAGCCACTAAGTTGTAAAGAAGGTTGCCCGTTCCATGAGGCTGAAGGGGTGTGTGTGCTCTGCCAACCCAGTTTCCTCACCATCTAAGTCAGGAATTGGGCGCAGGGAGCAGAATGACTCGATCTGATCTCAGAGTCAAGCCATACTTCTCAATTCAACTTTGCCAGTAATGAGGCAGATACGATATTAGAATATCTACTTATTCTAAAATATATAGTTGAGGCCACCTGAAAATTCCCAAAGTAGTCATCTCGTTTATGAGATTATATATCATCTTTATGGGGTTTTTCTCCATTTTGTCTGTATTTTACAGGTTTTCTACAATAAAACGTAACACTTTCACCCCAAGATATAGACAGATTCAAAATTCAGAAAAAAGTTTTCAAGAATTTGCCAGTCACTAGCAACTTTATCATGAGCCATTTTCATATCTTTTCTTCCTAAAGCAGTATCATGCCATTTGTATATTCACAATAAAATTTTTTTAAAAAAAAAGTTACTTCAGCCAGGCGTGGTGGCTCACGCCTTTAATGCCAGTACTTTGGGAGGGCAAGGCAGGCAGCTCACTTGAGGTCAGGAGTTTGAGACCAACCTGGCCAACATGGTGAAACTCCGTCTCTACTAAAAATACAAAAATTAGTTGGGTGTGATGGTGGACACCTCCTGTAATCCCAGCTATTCAGGAGGCTGAGGCAGGAGAATCACTTGAACCTGGGAGGTGGAGGTTGCAGTGAACTGAGATCACACCACTGCACTCTAACCTGGGCAACAGAGTGAGACTGTCTCAAAACAAAAAAAAAGAAAAAAAAAGCTACTTTAAAATTTACCAGTTCTGTGGATCATTTTAATAAAATGTAATTTTTAAATTTCATTGAAGAAGCATTTCTAAAATTACAAAAATTTGATTTGGAAATACCTTTTTTTTCTTTGAATATTACATATGCAACTCCCTTGGTTCTTGTCGGATATATCACGTCTTCAACATCTCCACCCTCATTCTTAATGTCTTGGAAGTGGCTCTTTACTAATAGGGCCAATAATTGATCACTAAAAAGGCCAACTGGAAGACCAGCAACTACAGCCGTTCTTTCAGGAGCTTTGGATTCCTTGACATTCAAAACTGATGCCTGTAAGAGAAATAGTAGGTTATTCTTTAAAAATACAAGACTCTACGTAATAAAGGTGACATCACACTTCAGTAGAGAGAATATCTGATTCTATAAAAGTACTGGTGCAGCTGTTTAGATACTTTTTAAAAGGGGTGTAGGGGAGTAAATCCTTGCTTCACACCATATACCAACATAAACTCTGTATGAATTTAAGAGTTAAATGTAAAAATTAAACCTTTCTTTTTTTTTTTTTTTTTTTTTTGAAATGGAGTCCCTGTTACCCAGGCTGGAGTGCAGTGGCGTGATCTCAGCTCACTACAACCTCTGCCTCCTGGGTTCAAGCAATTTTCCTGCCTCAGCCTCTCAAGTAGCTGGGATTGCAGGTGTCCACCACCACACCCAGCTAATTTTTGTATTTTTAGTAGACACAAGGTTTCACCGTGTTGGCCAGGCTGGTCTCAAACTCCTGAGCTCAAGTGATCTGCTGCCTCAGCTGCTCAAAGTGCTGGGATTACAGGCATGAGCCACCACACCCAGCCACCCTTTTTTTCATAAGTTGAAAATACTGGTTAATATTTGTCTGATTTAGGAAGCCCTAAAAATAATGGAAGAAGTTACCATCCTTTTTTTAGTAAGTTGAAAATATTGGTTAATATTTGTCTGATTTAGGAAGGTCTAAAAATAATGGAAGAGGTTACAAAGGAAAAGATCAAAAATATAAATTTAAAAATGTATTAATTAAAAATAAGTCAAACTAACCACAAAATATGGTATTTGGAGGTGGCTATATGTTTTCTTTACATTGTAGAGTCTAAAGTATGTGAGAGACTAAGAAA